TGGGTGTATTAAATGGTGGAGCGTATTTTGGTAGCTAAACACCCACGCTTAGTCTAAATCTAACCTTGTAGGATTTTGAATATTAAACATAACAGAGGGACGAATTCATAATATTTTTTCAATTTGAAGTACCAATATTAAAATGTGAAGATTTAAGCGACTCATATAAAAATATTAATGATGGAAGGGGCTATTATCAAAAAAATCATATATGTATTAATTAATACACTTGTTAATGTATATAACTTGTGAACTAATAGAATACATGTTTGTTCGTGTTACAAAAGTTATTTTGCAGATGATGATCATAAATGAGCTCTAAATTCTCATGTTGTTTCTTCTTACGCTTGTTTTATCAAATTTTATAATATTTTCTTGTCATTTAGATTTACCTGTTTGACCAAATTTTGTAAAGTTTTAGGGATATTTTTGTAAATTAATAAAAATTTAAGGGACTTTTTGAAGTTTTAGGGTAATTTTTTCCATAAACTATTTTGAATTTCTAGTATTTTATTAAATTAGAGAATTCTGTATAAAATTTTGAAATGTTTATAATTTTAGATTTTTCTGTAAATTTTGTAAAATTTAGATCTTTTTACAATTTTTTTAAACTTTAGGATTTTTTATATAATTTTTAATATTTTAAAGTTTTTTGGGTTTTAGTAAGTTCTATGAACTTTTTCACAAAATATACAAGTTTTGAAAGTATTTTGGTTATTTCTCTAAATTTTGTAAATTGATTTTTTTTTTAAATCTTCAATGATGGAAGTCCTTTGGGTATTTCTACAATTTCGATAAGTTATATGGATTTTGCATATTTTATAGCTTGGTTAATGACACTTAACTAATATTTCTCTCCTTAATTATGAAGGCAATTCATGATGTGAAAATATTTCATAATATCAGCTAATTATCTTTATCTTTATTTTTAAATTTAAATATAAAGAAATGAATGATAAGATCAAGAGTTTTATTTTTTCATTTGCTGTACCAAACTTATACCTTTAGATGGTCAAAGTTCTAAATCATTATATGTTTTTTCTAGTAAATAAAGTTTAAGTTCTGAGATTTTTTTTTTTTGTGATTTCTTGAGAAATGGTTAAACGTGAAGATTGAAAAATCTATTGGATACCGACTCAAACTCTAAGTTGGATCTAGATTTGAAGGCTAATGCTAGTCTTAGTAGTTTTCTTAGAAGCCAAGTTAGCTTGGTGGACAAGTTATAGAGTTGTCTTTAAATAAGGCATCCTATTTTAGGGTTCTTTTTAGTAGAGAGGGAGAGATATATAATATTTTTATAATCAGGGTTTAATAGAAAGTGTAACTGGATTTAAAACTATTTTGAGAGAGGTTTTGCAATCTTTGTCCCTGTAAAAGATTCTATTTGGTGGTGATATTGGAGTAGTTTCGATCTCGTAACTTTTTCTTGTTGAGAGTTTTCCAGATTAAATTTTATGCGTAATTCTATTTGTTGTGTTTTGGTAATTTTTAAGATTTTCGTGAGATCTAAAAATCCCAACAAGTGGTATCGGAGTGGGATTCAAAGTTCATGGAGAGTGCGATTGGTGAAGACATCAGTGGTCGAGGCACAATGATCGACATCGGGTGAACAAGAGAATTTCGAGGAGGATTTTTTTCTACAAATGGCAGTCAACAGTGTTAGAAGTGCGGCGATTCCGTTGGTGAGCTCTAGGGGTGGCAAACGGGTCGACCCGACCCGACCCGACCCATATAAAATTTGACCCGACCCGTATAAGTTTGACCCGACCCGACCCGTTTAATAAATGGGTCAATGTGATCCGACCCGATTATTAAACGGGTTACCCGACCCGACCCATATAACCCGAATAACCCATTTATCTAATACAAGACATCCTAACACATATAACTAATAAAAAATTTTATACAAGCACAAAAGAACACTTCTTGCAAGCTCTTTAGACAAAAACTATCATTACTTACAACATGGAGTTATTTCAAAGACATATTCAGTATTTAAATGTACTTCAACGAATTGTAAATATCGGCAAACAAAAATACATCGATGCAACTCTTTAGACACAGAATAATCTAAACTAAAAACTAGCAACAAAGAATTTAACACAAGTAAATAAAGAGAATATACACAAGTTTACAACAAAATAGTTAGGAAATTGATTGCCACTATCATATCCATCACTCTTTCCTACTACCCACCACTATTTTGCTAAAATTAATCTCATAATTGCAGAGAGAAAACCCATCAATCATCAACAGCAGCAGCAACTCCACAAGTGTCCAGCCTCCACAGCAGCTCCACAGCCAGCAGCAACAACTACAGACAGCAGCAGCAGCAGCTTCAGCAGCAGCTTCAGCAGCAGCAGCTACAACAGCAGCAGCAACAGCGCTTCACAGCCAGCAGCTATGCCAGCAGCAGCAGCACCAGCTTCAACAGCAGCAGCAGCAGCTTCAGCAGCAGCAACAACTACTTGGGATCACAGTTGTAATATCAAGAAATAAGATCAGATGCACCAATCATTGGTAAAACCAGATTACAGTTATCATCATATAATCACTGAAATTAATAATCACAAGTTAGATTAATGAACCAGTTATATATATACATAAGAAAACTAAATGATCTTGTAACTGTAAAGCAAGCGGTTGTATTCTAATGAGGAAAAGCTGAGATAAGTTAACTGAGCTCATGCTCAATCGGGTTCATGCGAAGTGGAGAATCCCAAGCTGAAAAGGACTTAGAGGGAAAATTTCTAGGTTAGAGGACCTATGATTAATTTTTCTACTATCAAAAGGAAAAGGGTGGCAACGTGATTGCCAGATTAGGTGAATTTGGAGAACAAGAGGCGCAAGATTTAGTATGGATTGCTTTATTGTTTGGTGTTCTATCTAATCAACGGACCAAATTGTATTGTCAGCCGATTGGGTAATTAGAGGTAGAATTTGATGTTGTTCAGGATCTTCTCGAGTGGCAAGATGTTGATCAAGCCTTGGAGTAGAACAGTGTACGGTTCAAGATCTTCTTGTGTAGCAGAATGTTGATCAAGCTTTAAAAGAGAAGAAGTCTGAAGAGATGAAAGATGCTGAAATGAAGTTTCATGCAGAACAAGGCTATAGCATAATTCATTTGACACTCGCCTCTGAAATCAAGCACAATGTTATGTAGGAGGCGAAACCAAGGGGATTGTGGGACAAGCTTAAGAGGATTTATTCATCAAAGTAGATGGCAAATCGATTGTGTATGAGGATAGAGTTTTATTCAGTGAAGATGATATTACTATTCAAGACTACATCAATGTATTTAATCAATTAGTTTGCCAACTTATGAATATTGATAAAGAGATTAAAGAAGAAAAGTAGGTGTTACTCCTACTGTATTCCTTACCAAAGTCATACAAGCCCATTGTTTTAAACGATAATTGCAAGGAAGCAAACTTTAAAATTTGATGATATGACAACATTCCTATGTAGGAATAAAAGAATGATGGGGAGCATTTAAGGGTGGTGAGAGTGCACTGCCTTTTAAAGATTTTAATCGAGAGAGGAGTAAGGGGGAGATGTGACAATTATTAAAGAATGTCAAAAGCTCGAGCCTGAGGCAACAACGAAAGAAAGTGATACTATTGCGAAGAGAATGGTCACATTCAGTTTAGATGTCTCCAGATGCGAGATGATTTGAAGACCATTAGACAGTTGAAGCTTCAGGAAAATAGGAAGAAGGAGGACTCCTTAGCAATTGCGTGTGATGAAGATATGGTGTTGATGACGAAGAGTACCGGTATTGATGTGAGTAACACTTGGGTGTTAGATACTGCTGCCTCTATGCACATTTGCAACAACAAAAATTATTTTGATACATTAAAGAGGATGCAGAATTTGGTAATGTGATCATTGGAAACAATGAGAAGATGAATGTTGAAGTCATTAGGAGTATCCGCCTTAAGCTTCACACTGGGAAGATCGAAATTTTTTATCATATGAGATACATACCGTCATGTAGTGCTAATTTAATTTCATTGGTGAGATAGCATCATGTGGGTACAAGTATGTGGGTGAAAGAGAGTGGTACAAAGCGTATAGAGATAGTGATTTGATTTTTTAAGCAAGGAAAAATAGCAATCATACTTACTATTTAGATGGGCAATATGTTAATGGTGTATGTGACTCTTCTCAAATTCTTATTCACAAGGGAAAGGTGAAGAACAAGAAGAAGAGAGCAAGTTTCTCTGAAGTCGTTGAGATACGTGGAGATTTTTCATCGAGAGAAGATATGTTGGGTGTCAACTCAAACTCCAAGTCGGATCTAAATTTGAAGGCTAGGCCCATTCCTAGTAGTTTTCTTAGAGGACAAGTTGACTTAGTCAACAGTCAAGCATGTCTTTAAATAAGGCATTCTATTCTAGGATGCTTTAGTGGAGAGGGAGAGATATATAATATTCTTATAACCAGGGTTCAACAGAGGGTGCAACCAGGTTCAAAGATATTATAAGAGAGGATTTCGTAGTTTTAGTTTGTATAAAAAATTATAATTTGGTAGTGATAGTGAATTATTTTCCATCCCATGGGTTTCTCTGTTAAGGGTTTTCCAAGTTTAAATCTTGTGTGTGATTCTATTTGCTACATTTTGGTGATTTTCAAAATTTTTGTGAGATCTAAAAAATCCCAACAAAGTTATCAGTAGCTTGTATGTACCTTATTAAAAATTTAGGGGTATCAAAGAGAAAAAGGGGTAAAATTTAATGTATCAAAGTACCAAGTAAAAACTTTGGGGGTATCAAATTTTATATAAACTTTAGATTACTAAAGTGCAAATAACCCACTTTCAATATTAAGATTTGAGAGACTAAGTTCAAATGAAATTCTTTTGGGGGACTAATATCCAAAAAAATCTGAAAATAAAACTATTGTTATTTTTAGTTATATATTTGCAAGCTGTAGGCAGCCTTTCCCTTCTTTCCAGGCAAACCCAAAACTAAGTCAAATGGGTACACGTGCTCAAAGGATAAGGGGAGTGGTATCTCGCAGTCGCCATTAGACTTCCTCAATACAGCGTGTATTCTCCAAACACCTCCAACTTCTCTTACCCAGAAAAAAAAAAGAAAAAAAAAACCTGCTACCGTATTGTTACCAGATATTTCTAAAATACTTCATCATCTTGAAATAAATAGCAACCATAACATTTTCTAAAATACCATTTCACTGTGTAAATATTGTACAGTTTGGGGACCTCAAAAGATTCTGGTCATCTGCGTTCTATCACAACAACAAAACACTACATGCTGTTCAACATAATGTGGCCACTTTGTAAAATGGGCTGCCGCTAGAAATTCCGTTAGATATCCAAGTTGTTCTTTTTGCACAAAAGTTTATCATTAATGCTGGAGTGACTATACTTATGTGAGATTCCCCTTGGGCTGACTTATTTCTCACCTAAACTTTTGAGCCTCATGCATCTTTCTTTGGCCACTCCGGGGATTATCGCTGAGCTTGTGTATGTTTGGCTGAGAGATTCTTTTGGTGAAACTGACCTAGTTGCTGCTCTCATTAGGGATGGCGGTATGATCGTTGGGAGAACATTGAGGTTTATATCAATCTTATTTAGACCCCAGAGCCCTAGTATATCAGGAAGCCACATGTTCTTTTTGAAGATGTCAAGTATGTAACTTGATAACTCAGGTTCATCTGATCTATGTGGGATGTGCAACTGACAACGCAGCGGTGATGCATTCTGATCTGCGAGCTAGCTCCATCCTCTGGATCACTGTTGGAAAAAAAACCAAATAACATAACTCATTATGCTGTGTTACGTAACTTAACAAGCCTCAAATGTTATGTAGCCATATGAAATAACTCAAATGCATCATAACTCTATGCTATTACGATATAATATGCATTACTTCGATAAAATTTACATTGTTTCAATATGACACGAGTATAACTTATATTATTTCAGGACGAGTTCTAGAGACATGAAAGTATATTCTTTCTTAAACTTGAAATAGTTAAATAATTACTTTTAAAATCTCAGTTGCACCTTCATGTCTTGTTTTGGTAACATCATTATGTGAGAAGGAAATTATGAATGTCTAATAAAATGGATGTAATTAAGCCATAATTTTATGATTCTATATTTTAAAATTCATTTTTAATACTTTTCAGTAAAATCTATATAGCTTACATGGGTATCATCAGTAGACCTTTTATCAACAAACCTTTTACTAGAAAGCATAAAAAATGATTATATATTTGAGAGTATACTTCGTAGTAAACATTTTATCAACGAACTCCCTACCTGTATTTAGCAAATAACTAACATATTGCCCTTGGTGAAATTTTGGTAGATATTGCCCTAGGTGAGTTTATCTGAGGAAAGAAATGACAAAAAAATTAAAACCTAGAAGATCTATCTGTAACAATGAAACTCGAGGGATAGTAACTTTAAAACAAGGATAGCATTGAGAGCATATGTGCAATTAACCCTGTAAAAGAACCTTTTATCTAATGTCATAGCTAACAATTCAAAACGCTCCCAAAAGGTGATGCGTCTTCTCAACTAACCATTTCCAATGAAACTAGGCAAAAAAGAAAAAGAAAAAAAAAAACAATGCATGATCTAACATCAGAAGAAGACGAATAAACTGGAATGCTGAAAAAAAATCCAACAACGAAAACAAAAATATCAACGGTAAACTCCTAAGAAGAAATAAGGCCCTAAAAGAAAGAATTACCTGATATTTTCCGATGCCACCCAATCCAAAGGTAAGTTTCGCCGTGAGCGAAAACCTGCCTGCAGTTTCCCATCTGTTCTTTCCGAGGCAGGAGGAGAAGGCTCTCTGAATCAAAAATGTCGAAAAATGAATCACATCTCTTCAGCCTGGCCCTCGCTGCTTCTTTTATGCGAGAAAAAGTTCTGTACGAATTCTCTTTTACACCCCCCCCCCCCCCATCACTTCAATGTCTTACCGACCAAGCACAAGAAACATTTGTTGAGGCAGCTGTGAACAAAGAGTAAAACAATCTCTTACTTGATGGAACTGAATAGAATTTCTTTAGAAAAAATTGAGAATCCAAGTATACTTACCAGATCAGCGCGACCAGTATCGGGACACAACTACCATGCTCGCAATCAAAAGTGTCGCATACACAGCTGAGCTTACCCTGGGGTCAGCACTGCAAGTCCGAATGTAAAGTTAATTTATATGTAGAGAAGCGCTATAAGGGCTCAAGATTCAAACTTACCGTCAAAATGGTGCTCCCCCTGTTGGCTCATCTTGAGCAAGCTCGACAAGAGCTGCAACAAATGTACATTTTTACTGTTCATTTAAATTACACATTGTTGCAATAAAAAGTTTAGTTCTAAAAGCTAAGACGAGCAACCTGGGACACGAAAAGCGTTCATCACAATAGAAACGAGCTCAGAGCATGACCAGAGAAGATAGGCAGATACAGGGTCACTGCAATGACAACCTCCAAGTCAAAAAAAAGAAAGAAAAAAAAAATCCAACTTGCACAACAAATATTAGTAAATATAAAAACAAAAATAAATTGGTGGAGCTCACCTCCAAGGTGGAAAATCGCCCGGAGGCCGAACAGCAGGGCGCCCCTACCTGAAAAAATTATAGAGCATTAAAAATAATGAACTCTCTAAATTAGAGAGCATCTAAAGACGACCTGCATTCCTCAAAATTAAACATAAATATTCAAAACTAAACCTCTCGATCGGACTCTTAGCAGATACTCTAATAGAATACATGACATCATTTCTGCAAACGGATCTCTGCGATCGATGGACACATAGATATATTCAATAAACAAATGCTATTTCTAGCGTCTTTGCAACATCACCTTTTTTAAATAAAAGGTAGGCCGATAAGAATCAAAACTCACTCATTCTCTGCTATATGAGTTAGATGAGCTCTTGCGACATGACAAATATAAGAACAGTTTCCAATAGAATCAAAATAATGCACATGAATCAAAGAATCCAATATTACTTTTGTGAACATTCTACATTCCTTGGATTATGGGATTTGAGGCTAATTTTATTTGGTTTTATTATATCTGTCTTGTATCCACATTCATATCCGCATGTATATCCGTATCCTTATCGTACACTGATTTTTTTATGTAGGTACATGATGAATTATGCATCTTCCACAAGTTCTATTGATCTTTGATTAGATGGAACACAAACATTTTATAGTTTTTTTATGTATGTATGCGCGTGTGTGTATAGACACACACACACAAAGGAGAAGGAGAAATTTATTTTATTAAAATATACTATCATGTCTAAATACCAAAAAGCCAGGGCATTATGCATATATATTTAGAATGTCGTATTAACTTTAATCAATCAAATCAAGATACAAAAAAAACATAAACTAGATTTCAAGAAGTATTGAATTAATATTAACTAATTAAGTTCTTTCTGGCACATGAATTATGCACGTTCCTATGATCTACTATTAATAAACAAAACTAAAGGAATCCAAGAACAAATAGAGTTATACCAAGCAATACAAACCTATGAAGTTAATGAAAAACCTCCAAACACGGCGCCGCGGACCTGGACCCACATCCTGATAATTTAGAAAAAAGAGCAAGATAAAAAATGTGAATTTAACATGTGACACACCAAATTCAATTTCTTAAGCTAAAGATATATACATTTACAAACTCATTAGTTTACAAAATACCATTTTCTCCATCATATAAAAAAATTTCAAGCATGGATGCATTGTTTTGAAAATTTTAATCAACATATAGTAACCACAACAGAATGGTAAGATGCTTGATCAACAAATTTGCATACACTAGGCACCAGTTCATGTAGCTGGGAAGAACATAATATATACATATTATATCGTACAAAACCAATGAAGCACATATCTTTATTTGATCCATATTTTAGATGTCCTTTACAGAGACAAAGTGGATACGAATTTGAAAAATAACATGTTTGTGTCCGTATCAGTTTGTTTCTAGGTTTTGTATGTCAATTTGAATAACGAACATCCATCTCTACATTCAAAACAAAACTTTCAAGATTCAATAACATACCAGAGCTCCACTTAGTGACTCCATCGCAGCAATAATAGCTCCGATCGACATGGGGTCTACAAAGGAAAAACATTGTAGTAAATAAAAAAACAAAATAAACATGCTACAAAGAAAAGAACCTAGATCTAAAATTAACAATAAATTATATAAATAACAATAATAGCTCGGACATAGGGTCTACAAAGAAAAAAATTGCAATAAATAAAAAAACAAAATAAACCTGCTACAAAGGAAAGAACCTAGATCTAAATTTAACAATAAATTATATAAATAACAATAATAGCTCGGGCATAGGGTCTACAAAGAAAAAAATTGCAATAAAGGAAAAAAACAGAATAAACCTGCTACAAAGGAAAGAACCTAGATCTAACTAGTACTTGCTTTTATTCCGGGTTGATGCTGTTATACCCACTGTAGCATTACTTTTCTGAACTTACTACACTTGTAATTTCATTGTTGAACATATGCGCTGTAAGTTAGATTTTTTTTTTGGGTCTCTTTTACCCTTGATGAAATTTTGGTAGATATTGCCCTAGGTGAGCTTATCTGAGGAAAGAAATGACAAAAAAAATTAAAACCTAGAAGATCTATCTGTAACAATGAAACTCGAGGGATAGTAACTTGAAAACAAGGATAGCATTGAGAGCATATGTGCAATTAACCCTGTAAAAGAACCTTTTATCTAATGTCATAGCTAACACTTCAAAACGCTCCCAAAAGGTGATGCGTCTTCTCAACTAACCATTTCCAATAAACATTATGAAACTAGGCAAAAAAAAAGAAAAAAAAAACAATGCACGATCTAACATCACAAGAAGACGAATAAACTGGAATGCTGAAGAAAAAAAATCCAACAACGAAAACAAAAATTTCAACGGTAAACTCCTAAGAAGAAATAAGGCCCTAAAAGAATTACCTGATATTTTCCAATGCCACCCAATCCGAAGGTACGTTTCGCCATGAGCGAAACCTGCCAGTTTCCCATCTGCTCTTTCGAGGAGGAGGAGAAGGCTCTTGA